CTGCTGATCTGTTTCATGTTGCTGCTGATCTGTTTCATGTTGATGTGTTCATGCATGCTTATCTGCTCACACAGACTCATGCTCATGTTTGTGCAGTTGTTCGATGTAATGTTTTTATGCTATTAGTGCTTAGTGTATTTTAGTTTATCTTTTTCTTAGTTCACATCTTAGATGTTATCAGTGTTTTTCTTTTACATTTTATTGTTGGATGTAACTGGGACCCTGTGTACATAATTTCGCTCCACCACAGGTACCACATGTGGTGCGAATGACAATAAAGAATTTCTGACTCTGAAAATGCATGAACAAGAGAGAATTGTGCATATTACCTCACATTCAGGGGTCCCCAGTACAATTCTGACGTTTGTCATGCCCATTTCCACTAGGGCATTAACAGAGTACTCGAGTAATCTACACATCGATTGCTAGGACATCTATCGAGGTTAAAAATTATATACTCGTTCAACCCCTAGTTTCCACCCTTATAGACTACGTTTTCTTCCACCTCCGTGACACTTCTTGTTTTCAATTTCTATCCAATCAAACACCTTTCAGACTTTCAGAAGTCCCTCCCATTTCTCATTTTATCCAATCACTCAGACACACTTCATTAGCTGTCATCTCTTTCAACTGAGGACGTGACACATTCCTATCTTTCCATTAGACCGATTTAAGCATCCACACACAATGAATGTGAGACTCTGATTATCCCCTTTGTAACTTAATAATAAAGAAATCTACACATCGATTGCTAGGACATCTATCGAGGTTAAAAATTTAACATCGAATATCCGTAGTGACGTCATATTATGTGACCACCGTATGACCGTAGTGGGCGGTGTTGCACTGTTGCAGGTCACAGAGTATGGTGTAACACCGGGTCCAATCCACCGAACCAGAACCAGTTTCGGTTTAAGTTTAATTTTTGATGTGCTGCATGTTTCTTCATGTTTGCAGTTTAATAATAATAACTTATAGTTTAGTTTTTCCTGTGACTTATTTGCAGTATGATAAATGGTAGGAGCATAATATACGCTCCCAATGTTTTGTTGGTCTTTTTTTTTTTGTAAATAATTACCTTTTTTTGTGGTTTTATTTATTTATTTATTTTTGTATCTTGAGATCTATGACATCATCAAATACTCGAGTTCTACATTATGTTAATGTCGAGTTTAAAAATTATATACTCGTTCAACCCCTAGTTTCCACCCTTATAGACTACGTTTTCTTCCACCTCCGTGACACTTCTTGTTTTCAATTTCTATCCAATCAAACACCTTACAGACTTTCAGAAGTCCCTCCCATTTCTCATTTTATCCAATCACTCAGACACACTTCATTAGCTGTCATCTCTTTCAACTGAGGACGTGACACATTCCTATCTTTCCATTAGACCGATTTAAGCATCCACACACAATGAATGTGAGACTCTGATTATCCCATTTGTAACTTAGCACATTATCAAGTTTTCGACTGCTCCACTAAGAGCCAGGGTTGTTCTGACCTATTAAGCTGCTCTTTGACTCATTATTAATTATTTTATAATCCCACACACATTCAAATGATGTGAACTATAAGTTAACTTTATAGTTGATCTTAGTTAACTGAACAAGAACCTTTGAGGTTGATGTTTTGTTTCTAATTAAAGGCCTTGTTTGAAATAAGTAACTATTTTCCTCCTGACAGCAGAAAGTGTCATGGTTGATTTTAAAGTTAGCAGTCCCTAAAAAGATATTTATCGGCTTATGGCTTAGTTTACACATCTAACATGTATTCTAACAGTTATTGTATGTTCTATTTTCCATAATTCATAATTAAACATTATATCCACCAACCCATATTATGTTATTTCCACAATTTATCATCAAAGGTTATTTTATTTTTAACAACGCCAAAAATTAAAAAGAAACAAATCTAGATCAGTATGGTCCAATTGGCAGAGTGGTTCTGATGTCAGTGAGGTTATCTTTTTTCATTCATTCAACCTTCATTTAAACATATAAATCACATTGAGCCTCAAAGACTCATTTATTAGTGAGATCTGTTTAGAGAGACAAAAAGTAGTAAAACTGGACACATGTAGGAGTTGGAGGCGAAAAAATTCCTATCAGACTTTTATTTTTCCTGCCTGAGGAAAAAAAACTAATATTAAAAAACACCTCACACAAACAAGCACATAGTGATGTAGATATTCTGCAGAGGGGGGAGGCGAGAGTGGTCAGCAATGTTTATAGATGCTCTCGAGGTCACTGTAAGAGTTCTGATAAGGATGGAATAATCAGTCAATGTCCTCTGGTGAGATCCATAAACATTCTTGAGGTATGTCAAGGAATGCCAAGAATAATGTCTATGAGAATCCAAGAGTCCTGAAATATGACACAAAGTTTATTCAGCTGGTTTCATCTGGTTATCAGTTGGAAATTCCTCAGGGAGGGGGGTGGCCATCTTAGCGACTGTTAGCGGCGTGGTGTTGTTAGCAGCGTTATCAGGTCTTGTTAGCAGGTCCTTTCAGCAGCATGATGATAATAAGGACCGCAGCAGCTGCCCTCCAGAACCAGGTCCAGCAGACAGAGAATATCCAAGGTTCCCCTGCAGAACCAATCGTGGTCTGCAGAGTTCGGTCCAATCAGGCAGATGGAGGATCTTGTTAACAGCGTTAGCAGGTCTAGTTAGCAGGTCCTGTCAGCAGCTCGATGGTAACAATGACCACAGCAGCTGCCCTCCTAGACAGCCCTCCAGAACCGGGTCCGGCAGATGGAGAACATCCAGGTTTCCCCGTGGAACCGAACGGGTCCGTAGAGTTCGGTTCATGCAGGCATATGGAGGATCATGGAGACAGCCGCCATGACAGGCCTGAACCCGGGGCTGGAAGGACTGAACCACAATGGCAGGATGGCATGATGTCAAGGCAACGGCACAGAAAACTACACAAGTGTGTCGCGGTCATACCTGTACTGTGGATGTACAATGTAAGCCAAAAAAAGAGAAGGTTTAAACAGAAACAACAGGAACATAAATTTACTGAGTTCACCGGGAGCCTGTGAAGCTGCAACTTGGCTGAGAGCGGCCATCTTGGAAAAAAGAATAGGTGTAGGATGATTTGGAGGATGATTTGTAGGTTAGAAGTAAGATTTTGTATTAAATTCTGGATTTGACAGGGAGCCAATGGAGAGAAGTTAAAACTGGAGAGAGATGATCTCTCCTAACTCCAGTTAAGACTGGCAGCAGCATTTTGGATTAACTGAAGACTTTTTAAAAAAGTATTTGGACACCCAGATAACAGTTTCAATAGTCCAGTCTAGATGTGTCAAATGCATGAATTAGTTTTTCTGTATCATTTTTGGACAAGATGTTTTTAATCTTAGTGAAATTACGCAGGTAGAGGAAAGAGGTTTTGGTAATATTTTTAATATGGGGGATAAAAGATATGTCCTGATCAAAAATAACAAAGATTTTTAACTTTAGAACTGGAGGCCAGATTAATGCCATCCAGAGAAAGTGAAAGACTGCAACATTTATTCCCAAGATGATCAGGTCCAAAACCCACAACCTCTGTCTTGTCTGAGTTTAAAAGCAGAAAAGTTCAGAATAGACATAAAGGCTAATGTTTGTCAGTGTTGCTTTGGTCAGTTGTGGTGGAGTTGAGTTGAAAGGTAAAGCCCAATAGTCAAGAGGTATGGATCATGACTGAACAAGATTATGATTATAAGAAGACAAAACAAGCTTCCTTCATAGTGTGGTTGGGCTCAGCCTTAGGGTGCATTCACACCAGCCCTGATTAGTCCGCTTTAATCGAACTCTAGCTCGTTTTCCTAGAAAGTCCGGTTCGTTTAGGGAGGTGTGATCGCACCATCAAACTCTGTCACGGAACAAAAAGGCGAACTCTGGCCCGGGCTAAAACCTGGGCCTCGGTCCGGTAGAAGCGAACTCCAGCGCGGTTCGAGTGCAGTGTGAATGTAAACAGACCGGGCCCCGCTCCGCAGGGTAAACAAACACGCATTGCTCTGACCTTTTATGGAGCCGTCAGCTGCCTCGTGTGGAAAAACAATATTCTCCATGGTCTTCTGTCTCATCTTCTGCTCATGCGAAGCCAATTTTTGAAAAATGACAAAGTATAACTCCTAAAACTGCTAAAACTTGATGCCACTTTGTTTTTATTTTTAGTTACAGAAGAAGAAGAAGAAGTGTCTTCAGAGGTTTTTGTGTTGTTTCTTTCAGTAGTTCTTGGTGCAGCGCCCCACAGGCGAGCGGGGGAATAGGTTGGCTCAACAGGTTGACTCGACTGCACAGTGCAGTGTGAATGCAAACGCACCAGCTCAAATGTAAACAAAAGGTCATGAATATTGGTCCCGAACCGAACCGAGTCTACCGGACTATCTGGTGTGAAAACGACCTTAGAGATACAGGGAAGAACTCCATCATCCAGGAGGAGTTTGGAGTAGAGCTTTGACTCCTTTGTATTGAGAGGAGTCAGTCAAGGTGGTTTGGGGATCTGATTTGGATGCCTCCCTTTGGAGGATTTCCAGGCACATCCTACTGGGAAGATGCCCAGAGAAAGATCCAGAACTCACTAGAGAGATTGTGTAGCTTCTTGGGCCTAGGAACACCTTGAAGTTCCTGAGGAGATGGAGCGTTTTGCTGAGGTGAGGGATGTCTGGGTGTCTCAGGTCTATGGGGACACTGGTCCTGGTTCAGCTTTAAATTCTGCCTTTCTGTCAAAAGTCTAGTATTTTCTACTTTGTACAATCTATAGCTGTGTTAGTAAGAGCGGACACTCTAAGGGGCTGCACACTGGTGCAGTGTTAAATGCTATAACCTCATAGACAGAAGCTCGTAGATTCAACTTTGGGGTCTTTTTGTGTGTAATTTGCATGTTCTCTTTGTGCATGTTTTGACTTCTCCAGTTTGGTCCCACTGATCAAAAACATGTGTTTCTAAAATTACTTTCAAATGAATAATAAATGTAATAAAGTAACAGACTTTGATCTGTGTGTTTGCAGGTCTAAGGTGGACCTCCAGGAGATCCAGTCAGTGTGCAGCAGGAGACCTTCCACTTGAACAGCTTTATCTCTTTCAGCAAACTCAATTTAGTGGACAGAACACCGAAGCTATGAAGATGTGGACAGTTCATGGGAAAAAAAATTACATGTCTATCAGGAAATCATTTCAGATGTCCCTCAAGACTTTTAATAAAACCCATCAGTATCTTCTGACCAAGTGTTAATCAGGATTAAGAAAACAACAACAAAAGGTTGAAGGTGATCAGACTTTTTGTTTCCACTGGGTTGGAAAAAACAAAAAAGAGCATATTGACAAACGGAGCCGTGCACAGAGAAGCTATGTGTATAAAAACTGAGTGCATTAAAATTTGAGTTGCATTCAACTTGTGTTTGGTGCTAAACCATTTGTCAGGCCACGTGTTTTTTTTAATGAACTTTGTAGTGTGTCAAGGACAGCTTACTGTGGACATACGGTCCCACCAAATGTGTTATTTAAAACACGTACGGTCCCACTAAATGTAGTGAAAGTGAAAGTGAAAACTACTAATTAAATTTTTAAATATAACGGGTTCTTTCTTTTTCGAGTTAAATTAATGCCATGTGACGAGGTAACTGTGAGGATTGTTTAATCAGTGACAAGAGATGTTAATTTTCCTTTGACCCATCAGAATAAATGAGGTCATTTATTTAACAGAATCAAAATTTAACATCAAAACATGTACACATGATTCGCTGAACTGGTTCTGATTAATAAAACTTGGCACGCTTTACTAATAAGACAACAAGACATTTCTGAAGGCATCTAGATTACTGGCAAAATAGAGGAGTTAAAAGGAAGGAGTTTAGAGGTTTTAAAGAAAAGATGGGTGAAGAGAGGTGTATGTTGTTGACCAGGATGGCACGCTTCTTTCAATCACCAGCTCAAACCTCCGGTACACTTAGCACGTGACGACTCGTTACCTTCGCAGGAGATAAATCAGCTCCGGTGTCGGGTCCATTTCAACGCTACCTTCCAGCGTCTCCGGTAATAGCGGCTGGCCATCGTCAGAAGTCGTGTCGATTTACTCCGTTCAACAAACAGGCTCAGCTTCCTTCGAAGTTGGAGGCGTTACACCCGGGTGGATTCACAGCAAGCATCTGTGAGTCCGTCAGAGTTTCCACTCAGAAGTGGAAGACTCCACAAGGCTTGAGAAGACTCCATCAAAGACTGAGTTCAACTCAGATCCAAGACTTCAGAAGAACAGAGTAGACTGAGTAGACTGCCTAGTTCCAGGAAGTGTGGACTTTTAAAGAGTTCTCACTTCCGGTCACTTAGGACTTCCTGATTGGTTGAAACAACCAACAGGGGGTGGTTCTAGTGATGCCAGAGGGTTATTAAAAGTCAACAGAGAATTCAGGAATGTTTAGGAACGTTTAGTACAGACAGAGAAATGTTATGGCGAAGTGAGAGGAACGCAGATGCCAGTGTTTCTCTTTTTACCGTCTGCTAGGTTTAAAAACAATACAGCCCGTTCTACTAACTTGTTTTCTGACTGTCTCTGACTTTCGACCGACATCACTATTTCTCCTTTAGACAGAAAATCAAAATGCATAATTACTTTGTAAATAGACATTTAACTTGATTTCTAATTTAAATGAGGGTTAAAAAAAATCATTATTACTGTTTCACAGTTGATTTAAAATGAGTGGTTCACTTCAACTTTAGAAATTATATGAACTAAACACTTTGATTATCAAGATATTGGAAAATAATAATGATAATATAAAAAGAAGAGTGTTCTTTCAATTGATTACTTCAGGATACAATTAGACAGTCTCTGGATGAGCTAATTTGTATTTCTGGATTAAAATCATTGAAATAACTGTTCCTGTCCCATGAAGGTCTTCAGAGGCAGGTTTTGGTCGGAGGCCTAGTTCACTACTTTGGAAATCATCGCCTGTCCATGGGGATGAATTTCAACATGAACTTACGCCTCCGTTCGTCCTTGATCTTGATGTAATCCAGCAAGAGGAAAACAAAAGTCAAAGAAGGTAATCCCACAATGGTTTAGGTAATTCCACAATGTTGTTAGTAATTCCATAATGTTGTTGGTAATTCCATTGTGTTGTTGGTAATTCCATTGTAGCAATGCTTTAACCCCTTGGAAACAAAGTCTGTAATTCATTGTAAAAAGTCATAATCCACAACGATAAATCTACAACGATTGGAGGTGTTGATTGATCAGCATGCAGAGGGGTTCCCTCGATTGAACTGCAGAGGTGACCACTTGATGGAGATTGGAGACCCACGTTGGAGTTGTAGGTCCCTTCAGCGAAGGTTGCTGCTGGTGGTTCCCAGTGGGTGCCATTCTGGTTCTATGTGTTATGCATTTATGTGGTTTTAGTTGGGCTTATGAGTGGGATTTTACATAAGAGCTTAACCTATATGCACCTGGTGTGTAAGCTATCATGGTTTAGATCAGCTACAGTTACCAGTTTAAAGGGTGGGAAAAAATTATATATAGGGATTTATACCTATAGAAGGGCATTCCAAACTATTTTTCCATTTCTAACTTGGTTTAAGTTAGATTTACATGGCAAAATATAGTTTGGTTCAATTATCTGTTGTCCCTTTAGACGAACGACTTGAGGTTTGGTTTTTTGGTTTCCCCCTAAATGTATTTGGAGTCTATAGCGAGACTCAACTGAAGAATTAGCTAGCCCTCCCCCCCAAATAGGATTGTTCGAGTAGGTTCGGCTTGAGCGTCATTGACTCCTCAAAGATTTAAGTTTAACAAATTAACTGCATGTTGGCATAGTTAAAGTCCTTTTACTCTCTAACTAAAGTACACACAAAATTCATTCTTGCTGGGGCTGTTCAGAAACAATACCAGAAACCAATTAAACGATGTCTCAACATCGACAAAAATAATGATTAAGCAACCAGAAAAACAAAGTTTCAACATTGACAAAAGTAGTGATTAAGCAACTAGAAAACGACGTTTCGGTGCATCACTCACTCTGAATGTCAGATTTGATCACGTTATCGCATCTGGTAACATCACCCTATCTAACATCACCCCCCTGTGGTCATGGGGGACCACGAACACGGGTGAGGACGTCGGTCCATGAGCAAAAGTTAGGATGCCCTTGAGTAGTTTTAGCTGTTTGCACAGCTGAAAGAGGACTTTAAGGTCTGGATTGGAATCCAGGTCGGCTTCGGACGGAGTGTTTTTCTCTGGGTCAAAGTACAGCATCATCAAGTTTATAGCACAATCCGACTTCTGAAGTTCGATGATGTCTGGGTCAGTCAGCACGGGTTGTACAGAGACTGTGTTGCCAGCCGGCTTGGCTGTAGCCTGTGCACGTGTGACTGCCATCACCTCGGCTCTAGGTTGTCCTGACAGAGTTGCGAGCAGCTCAGAAGGGTCAGAGGACCACTGAGGGCTGTCCACGGCTTCGTCCTTGATAGCTGATTTATCTGTCCTTGGGGACAGTACAGCATCTTTGGTGTGGGATCCTTGGATCTCTACACCTTTAACTACCAATGGTAGGTAGTATCAGGTGGGCCCTGACTGTCTCAGCTCGCTGAGGAGGCTTTCTTGTTCAGTCAGAGTTGGGTTCACCGGTTGGGTCTCTTCGGTTTCACATGCTTTTGAAGGCTTACTTACCGGGACTGTGTTCTCTGCTGAGAGGTCCTCGGTGCCTTCTGCGGGGCCTGCTGTTGGTCAGTCTGTGACTGTCTCAGGAGGCATGAGTATTGGCAGAGGTTTGCTCACTCTGGCCCACATCGTCTGTTCACCATAATCTATAATCGCGTCAAAGCGATTTATAAAATCCTGGCCTATCAAAAATGGGAATGAGTCAACCAGAGACACATGTACCGGGTGGTACAGTGTCATCTTGCCAACCTGCATGTGAACCATAGCTATAGCTGTTAGGGTTGTCCTCGTCTCTGCGAAGCCCTGCAGTCCTATAGCACATTCTATGAGAGGTATTTCCCTGTGAACACCGTTAGCGGCAGTCCTGAGCTCCTCGAAAAGTTTAGTTGACATAATAGTCATGTCGGCTCCACCATCCACTAGGGCTTCATGTGTGACGACCCCTTCAAGTGTGATCGACAGGTCAGCTTTATTAGCGACCCCCTTTCTGATCAGGTTACACAGGAACCTTGCAGGTTTTGGCCGACGTTTCTTCTTATGTTTACCTTTCCCTGCGTAATCCTGGTTTTTCCGAACCGTTGGTGCAGTTGCTGCTGCTCCTGGGAGTTCGGCTGTTGACGATCCTCCATCATTGATGTATGAGATCACCCGCCCACTGTGTGTTGAGGGGCTCTCATTGTTTGTAACAACAAGGTCCTGGTGGCTGTCCGTGACAGCGGCAATGTTGTTGTTTGTGTCACCCTGTTTTGACTGAACCGTTAGCACAGCTGTTGCTGTTTCTGAGGTTTCAGTTTGTGACGGGTCACCGTCGGTGACGTGTGATTGTACCCCCCACTTTTTCAGGTGAGGGCGTGTCAGAGTTTACACCAACAGCGTTATGGTGACTGTCTGTAACAGCAGTAATGGTGTTGTCTGTATGCTCTGACTTATCAGCAATGATATTGCCAAACAACGGGTTAGGTTGTTTGTCCGTGGCAATACCTTTCAACAATTCCAAGAACCGACGCACACTCTCTGTCTCGTCCGAGCTCAGAGGTCTGCGACTCTCTTTCTGGATCTGCTGCTGTTTCTTTTTCGTCTCAGGCTGTTCAGGCCGACGTGGTGGGGAAGCAGGTCCCCCCCTCTGGGGTTCCCAGTGGGATCCCTGGTTGTATGGGCCACTTTTGGTGCCATACTTTTTACCCTTAGGGCGTTCGCCCCCCTTCTGGTACAATCGTTCATCCTCTGATTTCTTGGGAAACCATTTAGGATCTTGTCTGGACAAGGGGGCACTCACCTGTTGTGGTTTGGCTGCTGGGAAACCTCGTTTCCTCTCACCTTTTTTGGGAGGGGGAGCTGAAGCTCTCATCCCTTCCAATTCTAATGACTGGGCAGGAATCCTCTCACCTGGGAACACCTCAATGGGTGTTTTGGCCTGTGAACGGGCTTCAAAGACATTCACAGTACAACTTTTTATCTCGCTGATGGATTTTTCTTTGAAATTAGCCATCATTTGCACCGACATCCTTATGTCAGGGTGGAGATTTTTGCTGAAAACGTACTGAAACGCTTCCTCCTCCTCCATGCCGGTCTCGTTCCTGTAACCAAAATAAGCCTACAAAATCCTGGAATAATATGCCCTTGGGTGCTCATTCTTACCTTGCATGACCTTGTCGGTGGCTGGATAACTGCCAGGTCCCGCGCAAGGGGTATACTCTTTCATAAGAGCAGCACATAACAGGCGGTAATCCTTTCTTGTGGTA